AGGGCTGGAGCTCTTCTCCTGTGAGGACAGGCTGAGAGAGTTGGGATTGTTTACCCTGGAGGAAAGAAGACTCTGGGGAGACCTTATCGCAGCCTTCCAGTACTTAAAGGGGGCCTACAGGAAAGATAGAGAGGGACGCTTTATCGGGACCTGCTGCAATAGGACACAAGGTGGTGGCCTTAATTAACACAGGGGAGATTCAGACTAGATAGAAGGATGACATTTTTCACAATGATGGTGGTGAAACACTGGACCAAGTTGCCCAGAGCTTTATCGGGACCTGCTGCAATAGGACACAAGGTGGTGGCCTTAATTAACACAGGGGAGATTCAGACTAGATAGAAGGATGACATTTTTCACAATGATGGTGGTGAAACACTGGACCAAGTTGCCCAGAGTCATGGCAGATGCCCTATCCCTGGAAACATTCCAGGTCAGGTTGGATGGGATTCTGAGCAACCTCATCTGGTCGAAGATGTCCCTGGTGTTTGAAGGTCCCTTCCAACCCCAACTATTCTATGATTCTACTAGAATGACAGTTACAACAGAAAGAGAAGGGCAAGATCAATTGGATTTTATATTGAAGGGCAAGGTCAGTCGGATTTTACACCAAAGGGCTGAACGTTATGCAAGTTAAACTACTGAACATTAACTTCCACGCTATTATAAGGTGCTTGTGGAAAAGGGCCGCTGATAAAAGTGTGGCTTGCAATGCAAGGTGATGGCTTGACACATACGTGATGGCTACAGGTGGCTCCATGCATGGGACACAAGTGCCACCCACCCAAGAGCAGCCCGCACTATTGGACAAAAAAGCTGTCAATTGAAATCACAGAATCATCTCCATCGGAAGGGACCTTCCAACTGTTAACCTAGCACTGCCAAAACCACCACTAAACCACGTCCCTAAGCACCCCATCTACACATCTTTTGAACACCTCCAGGGATGGTGATTCCACCACTTCCCTGGGAAGCCTCTTCCAATCCTTGGTAACCCTTTGGTTGAAGAATCATTTCCTTATATACATCCTAAGCCTCGCCTGGCACAACTTCAGGTCAGTTTCTCTTGTTGTATCGCCTGTTGCTTGTGAGGAGCCCAATGCCCACCTTGCTACAACCTCCTTTCAGGTAGTTGCATAGAGTGATAATATTTCCCCTCAGCCTTCTTTTCCCCAGGCTGAACAACCACAGTTCCCCCAGCCTCTCCTCATAAGACTTGCTCTCCAGACCCATCACCATCTTCCTTGCCCTTCTCTGGACCTGCTCCAGCACTTCCATGTTTCTTGTAGTGAGGGGCCCAAAACTGGAAACAGTACTGGAGGTCGGGCCTCACCAGTGCCCAGTATAGGAGGACAATCACTTCCCCAGTCCTGCTGGCCACACAATTCCTGATACAGGCCAGGATGCTGTTGGCCTTCTTGGCCACCTGGGCACACTGCTAGCTCATATTTAGCTGGATGTCAACCAACACCCCCAGGTCCTTCTCTGCTCTCCGGGTTTCCAGCCACTCTTCCCCAAGCCTGTAGCGCTGCATGGCGTTGGTGTGACCTAAGAGCAGGACCCAGCACTTGGCCTTATTGAACCTCACACCACTGGCCTTGGCCCATTGATCCAGCCGGTCCAGATCCCTCTGTAGAGCCTTCCCACCCTAAGGCAGGTCAACACTGCTGCCCAACTCGGTGTCACCTGCAAACCTACCGAGGCTGCACTTGACTTACTGAGGCAGCACTCCATCCCCTCGCCCAGGTCCTTGATAAAGACGCTGAACGGAGCCGGCCCCCGCGCTGCACAGCCCACAGGGCACGGCCAGGTCCCTGCACACACACGATGGCTACGCTCGACGCCGGGTACCGGGAGCGCCGGGGCAGGCCGCGGGGCCGTGCCGCCGCTTTGCTCAAAGACACCGGCGGCGACACCGAGGCCACCCCGCCGAGGAGGCGGCGGCAGCCCCCGACCCCCGGCAGGGAGCTCCTGCCCCTCATCCCGGCGGGTTCCCGCTCCCCGGGGACTCCCCCTGGTCCCTCCATCCCTCCCTCGCTCGATGCCCCGCCGCCTCCCACGCCACGTCTCGCCCGGTCGCGCGCCCGCGCTCCCCCTCCCTCACGCCCCCGGCGGCCGCGCGCATGCTCGCGGCGCGGCGGCGGCGCCTGCG